TGCCAGACTTATCAACGTTTAATTACTCAGGTCTGTTATAATATGACTCGGAATAGTGGTGTAAGTCCAATTCTATACAGAAACAATCGGAAAAGAAATTTCTTAGCTTACCTATGACAATACTCACAAAAATATTACTAAGAAAATTCTGTAATACGTATTAAAAGATAGCAACTTTCTGGACTAGAATGCAAGAAAATGAGAATTTTGAAACTAGAAGCAGCAACAGTGACGATATTGTCAACTGTCTAAGGTACATTTTTATACACGACCTTTCAGGTGTTGGCTGTACTTAGATCTTCAAGTGACTGCTCCAAATTAAACCTTCATATAATTGATTAATTTTATGATTATTGACGACAGTTCATAACATTCTAAATAAGAGGTTATATCTGCCAAAATTTAACGTCTTCCGAATAAGTAACAGTGAAAATTTTATACAGAAATATCTCAGTGAATATTAATTATAATCATTATCCTATTAGGGTACAGATATTTCTTTACAGAAGGCTATAAAATTGAAGGAAAGGGGTCGTATGGAACCCCCAAAGCTTACTAATTTACCCTATGTAAATATAGATTAAAGTATTTAAGAAGAATCACGCTCCATTTCATATTCTCTGACTGACAGTCGTGGGCAAATAGTCTGTACTGCGATTTCGTATTCGAGAACTCCTTGGTTTGATTCTAGGCCTCACTAAAGCGTTTCGTGGGTTTATTCCAGGCAAGTGATGGGATTATACGCATCTCTCACTCAACTTTGTAATATCTATTCAGTTGATAAACTGCCGTGAAATAATCTTAGAAACAGGCAGCTATTTCCATGAATTCTTGTAATATCTGCGTCCTTGTAGGATTTGAGGTTTTCACAGCGGCGAGTCTGAAGATTTCTGTCTTCATCTTTCTTACACGCTCTATGCCTTTTGATACAGGCAGGGCACAACTGTGGCTAAAATAAAGTTTCTATTTACCAAACTCAGCGTCGACACGATAACAAACTACACCTACCTGTAGAGTAGTTCAAATACTCGCAAGATTCCTGTCGCTAAACACCGTAATTGGATTCAGCACAATAATTAACTGCCGCTGTAGCAAGTTTTGTAATTAACTCCAAAATATTAACGAGATCTCATTTCTCTAACAACCCCATTAATTTAAGTCAAGAGTATCGATTTCTTAAAATAGCACGGATAGGAAACACTGTAATTATATTCCTTTGCCAGATTGACTTCGGAAAGAAAGTTTTTACTTAATATTCTTACTACAAAATGAATGACTGCTGCAGCCAATGCTTTGAAATTCTAAAATCAAAATACACTGCGTGTTTCTTGATTTATTTATCCATTTACGAGAAACAACATGATGTACTACAGTAGACCGTAACGGAATAAAAACAGACAAACAGATTGATTACTAATGCTAATTAACAGACACATGTACCCGTTGGATAGCAGAATGGGTGAGCCCCAAAGTTTGTCTGGACTTTGCGGCAAAAAGAATAAATACTGAAGATTTCTGTCTTCTGGGTTGTTGCGCTGTGTAGTCTGGTCGATGTTAACCAACGTTTC